TATATGCCTGTGTGCTTGGGTTGTTCTGTTGTGCATTACAAGTTGCTGAAGGCTGGTGAGATTATGGGCTGCTTTGAGTGATTGCTTGGGATGTTGTGTTTTTTGTGTTTGCATTTGTTGAGGGGGAGTTTTGCATTTACTCTCTTTACTGATCAGTTTTTTGTTGTGCTGTGCTCTATGCTGGTTTTTATTCTCTTGTGATTTGTTTTATGTTTTAGCCAAAATTTGCCAAAGGGGGAGTTTGTTAGTTCTTGATTGCCAGGCATTTTGATAAAACTAGGTGTAATCACAAGATGTCCTACAGGATGTTATGACATTTGTCTTTAAGGTTCTGTAGGTTGCTTTGTATGTTGTAGTAGGACTTATCTCATGATGTCAAACATAATATCCTGACACTTATGGACAAAACATTCTGTATGAATGTGTTTGTGTGTCTATTCCTTTTTGTGCAAACTTGCTGCACTGAACAGGTGTAAAATATGCGAGGATTTTGGTGTGTTACAAAGGCGTTTCTGATGCACATATTGTGGATCATATTTGATTTGATATGAAGCTTTTATCAGAAGATTTTATTGAAGATTGGAAGAAAGATTTGATTGGATCTTATTGATCAAATCAAATTTGTTTCATTGTTAAATATTATGAAGATTGATTTCTTCTCAAATTTGCTGTTACTTTTGCCACAACCCAAGCCCGTTCAATATTGCTATTTAAGGAGGTGAAAAACCCTAACTTTAAGATCAGAGAAGCAAGGATTAAAAAGTGTGTGCATTGGTGTAAGGTGAAGTCCTTGTGTGTTTTAGTAGTTTGTGAGTCATTCACCCATTATCTTAATGTGTGACTTGGACTAAGTTGTGAATTGTAATTTGTTCACTCAAAGCTTGTAAGCAAGAGTGTATCATACTTGATTGAAGCTTTTAAGTATGATCAAGTTGTGTCCTTGAAGAGTGTCTTCTAAAGTCTTTTAATTGTTGGTATTATCACTACTGTGATTGAGGGGGAGTGAGAGGTGTCTCTTATATAGGAGTGTCCTAGGTAGAAATTGCAAGGGTAGATATTAGGTGAGAAGATGGTAACCTAGAGAGAGTCTACTATATATTTTCAAACTAATTATACTTAGTGGATTTTCTTCCTGGCTTGATAGCCCCCAGACGTAGGCGTGTTTTCACCGAACTGAGTTAACAATTGCTTGTGTCTTTTTACGTTTGTTATATGTTTGTCTTTGTTCTTATTGATGATAGAACAAATATTAGTGTCGTAACATCACCTTCGACATCTGATATCTAATACCAGAATTTCAATTGGTATCAGAGCAGGCATCCTGCTCTGGTTCTGGGTGAGATCTAGGGACAATACTTTCTGGTACTATGGACAAAGTAGGAGGATTTGTGAACAAACCACCTGTTTTGGATGGGAGTAATTATGATTATTGGAAACCTCGCATGGTTGCCTTCTTAAAATCATTGGATAGTAAGGCCTGGAGAGCTGTTATAAAAGGATGGGAACATCCTGTGACTGTTGGGAAAGATGGAAAGGCTACATCTTACTTGAAGCCTGAGGAAGAATGGACAAAGGAAAAGGATGAATTTGCTCTTGGTAACTCCAAAGCCTTGAATGCCTTGTTAAATGGAATTGAGAGAAATATATTCAAATTTGTAACAATTGTGAAGTTGCTAAAGAAGTTTCTGAACCATGGGAGGAAGATTTTAGCATTGCATCATCCGGAAGACCAGTGGTTTCATTCGGTTCTGACCTCTTCTGAGTTGAGTGACCTATGCATGAACGATTACAGTCGGGTCAACCACGAGATGTTTAATGCATTCATGGAAAGATGTCATTCTGAGACATCTTATTTTCATCTCCCGCATGGTGAGATGTCTATCACACTGGACAATGTCTCATCTTTGTTGCATCTTTTGATCAGGGGAGATTCCTCCGTCATGGTAGGATGACCAAAGACAAGGCAGTCGAGATGATGGTAGAGCATCTAGGGGCTGATCCAGGGATATGATTGAGGAGGCGGATAGGACTATGGATGTTCATGCTAGGTTTGAATACCTGAAGAAGATATATGATAATGAGATCGTTGCTGCACAACAGGTTGATGGTGATGCCGAGTAGGTGGCCTTACATAAGACTCATGCTTTGAGAGTGTATTTTCACTATATTGGTTGTCACATGTATTTTTATGGACACGAGTGCCACATATACTGACGTTGTATACCTCTGGTACTTTTTGGATCTCACACGGATCCATGAGTACAATTAGGGGGCGGCTTGCCTGGGCTATTTGTATTCGACGTTGAGAGATGGATGTCGATGGAGGACGAAACAAGTCACAGGTAGCACGACACTACTGGTGGTAATAATTTTTTATCCTTGAATTTTTTATTTTATCTTTTTCATTTCATATTTGCGATAATTCTTGATCCCTAAATGATTTTTATTTTCATTTCAGGCTTGGATCCTCCAGCACTTCCTATGTATCGCTGGCTAGGCGTGTTGGGATGAGTATGCTGAGGAGATGCCATGTACCTGTGCTTTTATCCCACTGAGAGGGAACTGGGCGGTCGAGCCTTTCAGAGTCTATCTTGACCGCTTAGTGGCTAAGGACATCCATTTCAACTTCTACGTGGATCGCTGTCAGACACGACCATTTGATGACATATCTCTATACTTCGAATGGATGGCATGCGGATCGCGTATCACTACTCTTCGTCTGTCTGAGCGCGTCATGCGGCGGTTCGGGTACACCCAGACTATTCCTAGACACCCTGTTGTCTCTGCTCCTCCTGCCTTGACTCGTATACAGATAGATGAGATGTTTACTGATTATCAGATTCATCTGGTACCGGATGAGACTCGGGCTACCATAACACCGAATGACTGAAGCTACGTGGATGGATACATCAGGTGGTTCTTTACGGTCTCATATCCATACATGGTACCGAACGCTCTAGGAGATTCGTCGAGACCAGCTCATCAAGAGATTCTAGAGGAGCAACAAACTCAACTAGATCATACTGAGGATGTCTTGCCTCAGTGTCGTCGCATAGTGGAGATTGCGTAGGCAAGCATTGATGATGGTATCTTCACTAAGGGGTCTGCTGTGCGACGAGTACTGAATGACATTATTGTGGAGGCACATGGGACATTATTGTACTGCAGACTTTGCTTGAGGACGGGGGGAGTAATGGCCGAGGAGGCAGACCAGGCAGAGGAGACACATGAGGTAGAAGAGAGGTTGTCAGACACACCCAATATGTGTAACGCCCCATATTGCTTTCAGGATTACCGACTGACCCCACAAACCAACACGGGTCTTTTCAGCATGCTTTGTCCTCACTCACACGCTTTCCGGAAAACTTCCCAGAAAGCGTGTGAGTGAGGACAAAACATGCTGAAAAGACTCGTGTTGGTTTGTGGGGTCAGTCGGTAATCCTGAAAGCAATATGGGGCGTTACAAATGGTATCAAAGTCATACCTCTCCCAGTACGATGTGGTTCGGAGACGAACCAAGCGGAAGCTGGTGGGCATGTAACACCTGAGGTGAAAGAGGACGGTGGTTACATGTAACACCCGAGGGTGAGGGAGTGGTTGTCAGTGTCATGAGGCATGACAATGAGACACTCCTAGCAGCTTCTAGGGGAAAACCAAATTCACATCCGAATGAGAGGGATCCTGAGAGGCTATGCAGGTATGGGACTGCATGGTTGAATGAAGGCTTATAAGGATTAATTGGTACTACCTATACCAACAAGATGCATCTTCTTTTCGGTAGCCCGTTCATAAGAACTCCACAGTTAAACGTGCTTGACTTGGAGCAATTCTAGGATGGGTGACCTTCTGGGAAGTTTCCCGAAAAGCGTGTGAGTGAGGAAAAAACATGCTGAAAAGACTCGTTTATTCAGAAGTGAGATGCGTTCGAAAATATATCTCTAAAACCTAGAGACATAATGAGAATTCCACTCAATGAGTATGAAGTACATGATGGAAAAAAATTCTCTTATTTATCTTACCATTTACTACTTAGTGAACTTATTTATACATCTATGCTCTTAACAAAAAGCCCACAATATATGAATTAATTGCTATAACAAACCAATCGTAGAGATACACAATGTAGCAATCAATTAAAATTAGAGAACACATTAAGTAATATAATGATGTGTAACAAATGCATTACATAATCCTTCATATCTACCTCACAAAATTTTCTTTAAAAAAATTTATTATATAAACTTGGTTGGTGGACAAAAACAAAAAGAAAAAAGAATGGGAAAGTGGTAATGGTAATATTGCTACCACTCACTAAGGATGGGGTATCATAGGCTCTCTTCATTTGGGGCACTCACTCAATCAAGATGAGGTTAAGTTGTTCTCAATCTCACATCCACCAACTCCCTCTTTTTCCTATTTTATTTAAATTAAATAAATATATAAATATATTATTTTATTTATTTATTCATTTATGTCCAACATATTCATTTGATAAACGAGGTTCTCTCTTCTCTTGTCTCTCGTCAGTGTTTCACACAAACAAAAAAAAACAAGTTTACATAAGCTTCTCCATTGTTTTGTTTCTGCAGATGTGTCTTTGATTTTCCTTATTCACTCCGAACTCAATCAACAAACCAATCTCTGTCAGTTCTTTATCCTTTTCATTGCACTTTTCTATAACATTTTCTTGATCTATGTACTTCTTGTTACTAACTTATTCACCATCAATAATGAATTTCAATATCATAATTTAGATCTATGCAAATGCAATAGTTTTTTCTTTCTCTAATTCTGCCTGCATCACATCTTGTTTCTGGTGTGATGTGATGAACAATCTTGATTCAATTTTTGTCTATTTTGTGATGTTAGAATTGTGGTGTTTAATGTATTTAACATTGTCATAACATAGTAGCTAATTAGATAAGTAACAGAATGATTCATTTATCTTGGAACTGTTTATTACTGCAGTGTTTGAATATTTGAGATATTTTGCTTAGAAAATGAGAGGGGGTTTGTGGCAACTTGGCCAATCGATCACTCGCCGTCTTGCGAACGGAGGAGATAAGAAGGCTGTTGCACGAAGGTGTTTCGCTACAGAATCTGAGCTGAAGAAGACAGTTCTGTATGACTTCCATGTTGCTCATGGTGGAAAGATGGTTCCTTTTGCTGGTTGGAGTATGCCTATTCAATACAAAGACTCAATCATGGACTCGACGTTAAACTGTAGACAGAACGGTAGTCTTTTCGATGTTTCTCATATGTGTGGTCTTAGTCTCAAGGGAAAGGATGTTGTTTCGTTCCTTGAGAAGCTTGTCATTGCTGATGTTGCTGCTCTTGCCCACGGAACCGGGACTTTGACTGTTTTCACTAATGAAAAGGGAGGGGCGATCGATGATTCCGTGATTACTAAGGTGACAGATGATCACCTTTACTTGGTTGTCAATGCTGGGTGCAGAGATAAAGATTTGGCTCATATTGAGGAGCATATGAAGGCATTCAAGGCCAAAGGTGGTGATGTCTCGTGGCACATTCACGATGAGAGATCTCTACTCGCTCTTCAGGTCATCATTTATCACTCTATTTTACATTAGAATCATGCAAGTATAACACTCACTTTTAACTGGTTTTGTTTCTTTGATATATGATACCTATCTCTTGCTTCTGCATTTTAGTTTTTAAGATCTATAGCATTGTTTGTTTTGTTTCTTCCTCGTGTGCTTGCACCCTACGCTGTGTATATTTTGGTGTAGTTAGTGTTGTCAAATAGTGGATATAGCATAGTAAAATTTGAAGAAAATGCTGCTGTTGTGCAATACGCTATTTGGTAAAAAGTGTTATCAAATAGCGGTGCTATAGCACTATTGCGTAGTGGAGTTTTAACATACTTTTGTAATTCCACGATTGACAACATTGGGGTGTAGTTGTGAGTTGTCACACATTGTCTATTGTGGTCAGAAAATGATTCTAATTCACTTCTTCAGGTGGTTTGTACCAGGTTTGTCTTAAGTTTTCGGAGACTCTGTGTAAGTTAGCCATGATTTACCTGTGGCAAAACAAATAGAGACTCTATTTTGCCATGATTTAATCGTGACAAATATTTTATAATGCCATATTTAACCACGATTTAACAATGTCAAATTTTGGACCCTGTGCGGTAGCGTGCTTTGCACGCCATCAAAGATGCCTCGGTTTGTATCCATGTTAAATTTGACAAATAATTGAGGGAGTTTTAAATTAGTGATATGCACCTAATCGTAACTAACACTAATGAAGTTTTATTCTTTTCTCTGGAAGCAGGGTCCTCTTGCTGCTCCTGTTCTTCAACATCTGACAAAAGAGGATTTGAGCAAGCTGTACTTTGGGGAGTTCCGCGTGTTGGACATCAATGGCTCGCAGTGCTTTCTCACCCGGACAGGGTATGCTTCATTTTCGAATGTGTGGTTTTATACAATGCATACATGATAACATGCTCTTTTAATGAGATTTTCAGGTACACTGGTGAAGATGGATTTGAGATCTCAGTTCCTTCAGAGCATGGAGTTGAACTTGCCAAGGCACTGCTGGAAAAATCCGAAGGGAAAATAAGATTGACAGGACTCGGTGCTAGAGATAGTCTACGTCTCGAAGCTGGATTGTGCTTATACGGAAACGACTTGGAGCAGCACATTACACCTATTGAAGCAGGACTGACATGGGCTATAGGTAAGAGAAGGAGAGCAGAAGGCGGTTTCCTAGGCGCTGATGTTATCCTTAAACAGCTCGCAGATGGCCCTTCCATTAGGCGTGTTGGTTTCATTTCTTCTGGTCCACCTCCAAGAAGCCACAGCGAGATTCAAGATGAAGGAGGCAACAACATTGGTGAAGTTACCAGTGGTGGATTCAGTCCTTGTCTCAAGAAGAACATAGCTATTGGATATGTCAAATCTGGATTGCACAAAGCTGGTACCAAAGTAAAGATCGTTATTCGAGGCAAACAGAATGAAGGAGTTGTCACGAAAATGCCGTTTGTACCCACAAAATACTACAAGCCATCATAGTTTGCTGCAGCATTTCCCATTTCTTGACTAATTTTCCCTTAAACTGAGTGTTACATAAATGTTAATGTCATTGTTATGTTTCTCGTGTCAAGTACAAGGCTTCATCTTGATTAATAATTCAGTTTCTTTTCAAACATGTATTGCTTGAACTTGATGTTATCGTGAATTTTTCTGGTTTACTTTTAATCACAAAATTGACATCTTTTTCTCGCTTATTTTTCATGTTTTTAAATAACCTTAAAAAATCATCATTATAAGATATCTTTAATGGTGTGTTTGGTTGTGGAGAGAAATATGAAAGAGAGAAAGAGACGAGAGAGAGTAGGAAAAAAGAGAAATAAGTGAGAAATAGATTATCAACAACTTCATTCTTCTCCTTTTTACTTAAATCAAACACATTCTATCTAAACAAACCAAATATCATTTTCACATTGCTACTCAACAATAACTTATAGGCTAAGCTATATCTCCACAAGCCCATCTTTGAAAACCTTGGTCATATAATCTTAGCTAATAGTTTTATAGTAGTTTATTCAATTGGAAATTCGTTACTTTATGTTAAATCAAAGAATGGAAGCCAAATCTTTTTGCATTAAAAAAAAGAAAGAAACAAAATTCACATTAATAACATCTTTCATATACTGATAGAATCTAAATAGTATTGATCAATCCTTTATTACAGATATACATACGTTATTGCAGTTATGTAGAGAATAACTTCCTACAACTTCTTGCAGTAATAGTTACAAACTGCAACAACAATCATACATACACAACTTGCAACAACAATCATACATACACAACTAACTGTATACTCACATTAGGATTAGAGAGCCTAAAGAGCCTAGTCTTTCTCAAACCAAACCAATCAATAATTCGGGTATAATTTATTGGGCCTTTGGGCTACACCTAACATACACATAAGTAATTGGATGTCTATTTGTTGAGATTGATTGAAAATATACATGTTGATATTTTTTATGGTAGAGTATGATTTTCGGTGAAGATAATAAAAGCTTATGTATTATTTTCAATCAAGATGGAGATTGTCGAGATTAGTTGAAAATATACATACTGAGGATGCCCCACATCGCTTAATTTTAAACTTGTATTTGACTTTCTTTGTTCTCTTATACTCTTGTATTAGAGTGTTGTAAGATATAGTTAAATATTTATTTTGGAGGGTGTGAGTGTATTGTGGGTCAGGGTTAGTTAAGAGTATATTATGTGTTGTAGCAATTTTTACATAGTGTTATTCTCTGGTTGTCTATTGATAACGGTCGTGATTTTTCTCCGGTTTTGGAGTTTCCACGTTATGTTCTTGTATTGTGATTGTGTTCCTCCTTTTTTCTCTATGCTTTATTTGTTTTTCCCCAACGGGTATCAGAGCTTTTGGTTCGATCCAGGGACAAGTGTTTTTAGTATGCTCTGTGTTGCAGTTTTGTCTGATCTTCCTCATCAGAAAAAATTTCGTTGTGCAGTTTGCGCTAGAGAAAATTGATGGAAGATTTTTTTTTAATTGTGGAAAGTTCAAATTAAAGATGTGTTGATACAATCAAGATTACACAAGGTGCAAGATTATGTCGGTGGTTGAAGAGATTCCTGCCAACAGGGAAGTTGCACCATAATGTTTCAACCTAGTTTTCGACATGTGAGAATTATTTAAGTGGTTTACCTTCAAGTGAAGTATACTCTTTTTTAGGTGGAGTACGATAGTTTTTTAAAAATATGATTGTCGGTGAAGACAATGTAAAACTCTTGGAGTGGTTTAACTTCAAGTGAAATTTATTCTTCATGATAAAGTATATGATTGTCGATGATGACAATGTAAAATTCTTAAAGTGGTTTATCTTCAAGTGAAATTTATTCTTCATGAGAGAGTGTGATAGTTTTTAAAACAATGATTGTTAGTGAAGACAATGTGAAAGTTCTTGGAGTAGTGTAGCTTCAAGTGACTATACTATTTATGGTGGAGTATGATTGTCAGTAAAGACGATGAAAGTTTATGTATTATTTTCAATTAAGGTGGAGATTGTTGGGGTTGGTTGCAAATATACATGTTGATACTCTTTATGGTGGAATATGATTGTCACTGAAGACAATGAAATCTTATGTATTATTTTCAATCAAGGTGGAGATTCTTGGAGTTAGTTGAAAATATACATGTTGAAAAAGTCTCACATCGCTTAGTTTTATGAAGGAAGAGGGAGTCCAAAACTATATATAGGATTCAAGTTCTTCATTCCAAGAGGCACCAGTCAAAAGCACTTTAAGCTTGTATTTGACTTTCTTTGTTTTCTTATACTCTTGTATTAGAGTGTTATGAGATGTAGTTAAATATTTGTTTTAGAGGGTGTACTAGGGGCTTGGGTTAGTTTAGGGTATATTATGTGTTGTAACAATTTTTACATAGTGTTATTCTCTGGTTGTCTATTGACAAGGGTCGTGGTTTTTTCTCCGGTTTTGGAGTTTCCATGTTGTATTCTTGTGTTGTGATTGTGTTCCTCCTTTTTTTTATTTATGCTTCGTTCATTTTTTTCCAACAAAATATTTTGGGTTAAGATATGGCGTCTCTCTCTCTCTCTCTTGTAGTCCTAGAGCATTAGTCTCATTGATGCTCCCGACTCTTTCGGGCTTCCCAACAGTGGTATTAGAGTCGTGGTTCGGCTTTGCGGGGGAGTGGGAACTGGATCTGGTGTTAGATCCTGTTATAGGATGTAAGGAACTCACACTTGTGGGAGAGAATGTTGGGTGCAAGTGTGAGTGGTTAAAGTCTCACATTACATATAAATGAGTGTAATGTTGAACTTATAAGAGAAAAGACTCATTTATCTAACACCTTAAGTTTTTTTAGTTGATATGTGACATCTCACTCTCTTGTAGTTCTGGAGCATTAGTCTCATTGGTTCTCCCGACTCTTTCGGAATCCCCAACACTAATAATAATACTCCCTTCCAAAAGTTTCACCTTGTCCTCAAGGTGAAAATCAGGAAACAGTTGCTTGATGACCTCAAAAGCTTCCTATGTTGCTTCAAATTATGGTAAGTCTTTCCATTGAATGAGCTTCTTCACCACGTTGGCAGCATTAATACGGACAACAATGAGAACTTGAGGTTCCACTTAAAGTTCTAGATTTTCTGATAATATATGTGGTAACGGTTGAGGATTTAGGATTGACGTGACAAATTTCTTCAACATAGAAACATGAAAGACAAGATGAATCTTACTTTCAACATGAAGGTCTAATTGATAGGAAACCAAACCAATGAGCTTAGTAATTTGACAAAGGCCATAAAAATGAGGACTAAGCTTTTCATTGTTCTTCTTTGCCAAAGATTTGAGTCTATAACGTTGCAATTTGAGATAAACTCATCCCTAACACCAAATAATACATCTCTCTAATGTTTATTCGCTTGAGTTTTGATCCTATTCTGAGTTTCGGCAAAGTTGGAATGAAGATCATGCAGAATGATGTCGCGTTCTTCAGTCAACCCATTAACTTCCTTCACTATTAAAGGAACAGTGGTACCTTTAACCAATTGTGATGGATCATGACCAGATAAAGCTTTGTAAGGAATGGTTTTGGTTGAGTTGTTATAATTGAAATCAAACCAAAATTCTGCCTAACCCAGCCACGTGGCCCATTGTCACGGTTTGTGCCCGGTTAAGCATCTCAGATAGATCTACAAGCACCAATTTGTTACCCTACTTTGGCCATCTGTACGAGGGTTATAAGTTGTACTTAATTTCATTTTGGTACTAGCCATTTTGAATAATTCTGCCCAAAAATGACTCTGAAAAATCTTGTCCCGATCAGAGACTATGGTAGAAGGAAAACCATGAAGTCGAAAAATTTATTGCTTGAAGATTCGAACTACTGACTTAGCAATAAAAGGATGGCTAAAAGGAAGGGAAAAAAAAAAGCATATTTAGTGAGTCTATCAACCACCACTAAGATGACATCCTTACCTTGAGTTTTGGGAAGCCTTTCGATAAAATAAAATCCATTGATATTTTGACCCAAACTTGAGAGGGGATTGAAAGTGGTTGGAGAAGACCAACAGGGGATAAGGTTTGGTATTTATTTTGTTGGCAAATAGCACTAAGAAACCACAAAATTCTGAATAGCTTTCTTTATCCATTCTCAATAAACCAAGGCACCTAACTATTTAGAAGTGGCAGAAAAACCTCGAGTGACCACATACTGCTGAAGAATGGTATTCATTTAGTAGTTGAGAATTTTGGAAGAACTCTGGGGTAAGACTAACTTGCCTTTGTAGAATAGCTTTCGATTTTGGAAGATATAATTTGGGTGAGTACTGAAATCGTGCAACATGCCATGAATAATGTTTTGGAGTTTAGAACAGCCAATACCTCTATTCCCTATTCTTCCAAATCAGTAAAGTGTAAGTCATGCGGCGGGATAGATCATCAGTTGCTTGGTTATCACTGTCGGGTTTGTAAACAATATCAAAATGAAATTCCATTTGAATTGTTCATCACTTAAAATGCGTTGGTCAGTGAGGAACTTCAAACTTTTCTGGTCAGTGTGAATAATAAAATAGCGTCCATCCAAGTAATGTCTTCATTTCTGAACGTTCTCACTCATAGACAAATTTTCATTGGCTTAGAAATTCTACTAGACGACCCTACTGCATTAATACTACGCTTAAGCTTATGTTAGAGGTATTTGTCTCAATAAAAAATAGAAGAGAAAATTCTGGTACAATAAGAATGGGCAATTCAACCATGGCTCTCTTCAAAATCATAAAGGCAACATCGTATATGGTCACTCTCTATAGGGAATCATTAGCATATGCATGACATACATTGCACTATAGGATGCAAAGGAGAAATAATGACATTAAATATATCTGGTAGTTGTATTTTAATTAGTATTTTGATATTAAAATTTTGAAAATTTGTATGGTTGTTGTATTTTATGAACATTAGTGTATGGTTTACCAATGTTTTGTTTGACTATTAATGAATGCCTAATG